AGGTTATCACATTCATATAAATGTTGTTCTGTTCTGAATGTCACTATACTAATACAGTGGACCCCCGGTTAACGATTTTAATCCGTGCAAGAGGGCTCATCGTTATGCGAAATAATCGTTATGCGAATTAATTTTCCCCATAAGAAATAATGGAAATAAAATTAATCCGTGCAAGACGCCCAAAAGTATGAAAAAAAATTTTTTTTACCACATGAAATGTTAATTTTAATACACACAAAACTGAAAAAGGCATGCACAATTACATGACACTTACTTTTATTGAAGATCTGGTGATGATTGATGGGATGGGAGGAGGGGAGAGCATTATCTTCTTACTGTTTAGAAGGGGAATCCCCTTCCATTAGGACTTGAGGTAGCAAGTCCTTTTCTGGGGTTACTTCCCTTCTTCTTTTAATGCCACTAGGACCAGCTTCAGAGTCACTGGACCTCTGTCGCACAACAAATCTGTCCATAGAGCTCTGTACCTCCCGTTTCTTCAAGACTTTCCTAAAATGGGCCATAACATTGTCATTGAAATAGTCACAAGCACGGCTTGCAACAGCTGTGTCAGGGTGATTTTCATCTATAAAGGTTTGCAGTTCAAACCACTCTGCACACATTTCCTTAATCTTTGAAGTAGGCACAATGGATTCCACAACTGGCATAGGCTTCTCAGGGTTAGCCCCAAACCCTTCAAAATCTTTCTTAATTTCCATACTAATTCTCACCCTTTTTACCACAGGTTGGCACTAGAAGCTTTTTGGGGCCCATGGTCACTTATTTTCCAGAAACACCACCGAAAACACTGTAATAATACGAAATATTCCGAGTGTATGCTTGGATGTTACCGCGGAGGCTGGCTGGTAAACAATGGGACGGCCGGCACATGTGAGGGCACATTGGACGCGTCTCGGACGAAAATCGGTATGCGGGTTTTTAATCGGTATGCGGGGCAAAAATTTTGCGATAAAAGTAATCGTTATGCGGAAAAATCGCTATGCGATGCCATCGTTATGCGGGGGTCCACTGTATAGGCTTCAATCTGGTATTTTTTTCAGATGGGTTACCTTGCATGAGCCTTAAGTATATAACTGGTATTGACAACCATGTATGATGTTGCCTTCACAACCAAGAATATGTGATATCTCTGGCAGCATTGTATATAACTAGATTACCGGTATGGTCTTGAACATGTCTGTTTTATATAGTACTGCGAATTTAGCATCTTTCCTCTTCTGTATTTCTAGTTTGAATTGTTTTGGTTATATGTGTAATGTGTTCTCAAGCAGGCACTGGACAGGCACCTAAAGTCAGTACCTGACCAGCCGGGCTGTGGCTCGTACGTTGGATTGCGTGCAGCCAGCAGTAACAGCCTGGTTGATCAGGCCCTGTTCCACCATGAGGCCTGGTCACAGACCGGGCTGCGGGGGCGTTGACCCCCGGAACTCTCTCCAGGTAAACTGTGTATGCTTGACGAGTAAAAAAAAAATTATACAGTATATATTTTACACTGTCCATCACTAAAAAACTCTCAACATTATCTGATATTATAGCAAAGTTCAAACAAATAAAACACTTTATTACAGTATGCATATATAAAACTTTAAAAAAACAATGCTTTCCTTGGTTTACAAGCCTTTTTCAAGTTCTTTAGTGCCTTGAAAAAGATTGTAAACCAAGCAAAATATTATTATGCTTAAAGTTTCTTAAACACTTGGTAAAATGTCTTATTTGTCGTTATTCACATATCCAGTGGAAGATTGGCCAATGAGTGGACTCAGTGGCTCCTTAGGGCCCCAACTACTGAGGGGGAGGGGGCCCCAAATCATTAACTATTTATCCTTAACCTTTTCTCTATCAGGATACAATGCTGAGTTTACGAGAAATTTAGTATATTTTTTGGGTTACTTAAGTAAAATTGTGATTATCAAAGTTAACACTAGAACGACTTAGCATGCTAGGCATTTCGGGCATACTTAGTTTTATTCTTAATTGTAAAATATTACAAATTATGAGGTAAGTTGGTATTATGGCTAAGTGACTAAATACTAGTTTGTGAGTTTACAATGTGAATGCTTTTGTTTTGGCACAGTTTTATAGTTTCAGTATTGGATGTATCACAGGATTCATTATTTTAAGACAGATTAATATTTTGTTTATGGTCAAAATGAGTGAGCGAGTGTAAGTGGAACCACAGGTGGTATTCGGTATTAGTTAGTTTAGGTGTATCAGGGAAGATAAAGATGTTCTAATGGAGTTTTGAAGGTGATGAATGTGTCTGCAGTTCTAAGTTCTCAGGTAGGGTATCCAGATTTTAGGCTTTGACATACATTGAATTTTTGTAAATGGTTTAGGTCGGACAGGTGGAATGGTCGTATGATGTTTGGTGAGTCACACCAGCAGTCATTGATATTTCGTATTATCAAAGTAAAGACTAATGTCCAATAAAGGAGGGACCCGCCTGTGACATACTTTGCTTTTTAACGGTTTTCACTAATCAGAGGTTTTTCAAGTATACCCATTTTCATTTATTCAGACTTTACAGTAAGAATATTCACCATCCCACTATAAGCAGAAGATGAAAATTTTTAAAATACGTGTGTGTACTGTGTATCATTTCTTAGGCCTAGCTAGCTCTATTGTTCATTTAATATATGATAGTGTAAACATATCAGGCTTTAATATTCATTTGAAAGTGAAAAAAGCTATGTTTCACTTAACAGCAATTTTCACTTTACAGCAGTAGCCTGGAACCTAACCTGCTGTATAAGCAGGGCCTTCCTTTACAGCAGTAGCTGAACCTAACTGCTGTATTAAGCAGGGCCTTCACTTTACAGCAGTAGCCTGGAACCTAACCTGCTGTATAAGCAGGGCCTTCCTTTACAGCAGTAGCCTGGAAACTAACCTGCTGTATAAGTGGGGCCTTCCTTTACAGCAGTAGCCTGGAACCTAACCTGCTGTATAAGTGGGGCCTTCCTTTACAGCAGTAGCCTGGAACTAACCTGCTGTATACCAGGGGCCTTCCTTTACAGCAGTAGCCTGGAACCTAACCTGCTGTATAAGCAGGGCCTTCCTTTACAGCAGTAGCCTGGAACCTAACCTGCTGTATACGCAGGGCCTTCCTTTACAGCAGTAGCCTGGAACCTAACCTGCTGTATAAGCAGGGCCTTCCTTTACAGCAGTAGCCTGGAACCTAACCTGCTGTATAAGCAGGGCCTTCCTTTACAGCAGTAGCCTGGAACCTAACCTGCTGTATAAGCAGGGCCTTCCTTTACAGCAGTAGCCTGGAACCTAACCTGCTGTATAAGCAGGGCCTTCCTTTACAGCAGTAGCCTGGAACCTAACCTGCTGTATCAGCAGGGCCTTCCTTTACAGCAGTAGCCTGGAACCTAACCTGCTGTATCAGCAGGGCCTGTCTGGATTAACATGAAAAAATGCTTTCATAGCTTAGATGATAGTTATAATGGTCATTTTAACTACTACACACAACAGAGTCCTTTAATGTTGTTCTTAGAGCCTCTGGATCTATTAACCAGCTAGTGCACAGACCATTACAGCTACATCAGCGTTGCAAAATGAGATTATAAGTAGCCCAGATGACACTTAGCTTCCACCGCTAGTTTACCATTTTATGCATAATCACTAGGATTATATATATTACAATGTTTAAATTCTGCATAAATATTATTCAAATTTAAACAAAGAACACATGATTCTGTGACTAACTTGTAGTTCCTTCACACAGTAGATCTAACTCACACAATGTAAAATCTCGTAGAGTAATTACTATGTTTTGCTGTGAAATGTGTGAAATTCACTTGGAGTCCCTTAATTATAATTATTGTCTTTACATTATTATTTTATTACTGTTGTACTCATAAAAGTGCTAAACCCATATGGGTTATTCTGCACCACTGGCCCGGTGGCCTGGTGGCTAAAGCTCCCGCTTCACACACGGAGGGCCCGGGTTCGATTCCCGGCGGGTGGAAACATTTCGACACGTTTCCTTACACCTGTTGTCCTGTTCACCTAGCAGCAAATAGGTACCTGGGTGTTAGTCGACTGGTGTGGGTCGCATCCTGGGGGACAAGATTAAGGACCCCAATGGAAATAAGTTAGACAGTCCTCGATGATGCACTGACTTTCTTGGGTTATCCTGGGTGGCTAACCCTCCGGGGTTAAAAATCCGAACGAAATCTTATCTTATCTTATCTCTTGGAAATACAACACAGTAAGAAAAGTTTCATTTTCATTTTCACAAATAGTGCATTGCATGTTTTTAAAGTAAGGAATAAGATTATACAGTAGCTAAATATTGAACACTTCCCATAAGGAACTGGATTACATATTATGATACATTTTCATGAAGTTATCTAGTTCTTTCTGTAGTAATTTAACTTCAACTTACAAAAGTTTTTAGAATTTTTTGAAAGGCTGAGACTCTCAGCTGCAGAAATTTATTGTTAAATCATTGTTATTGTCTGTTTCACATGTATCATTCTAGTACAAATATAACTTCAGTTGAGAGTATGATGACAGCAAAAGTTGCAACATTCAACTGCTGATAATATGCACAGTGTTCACATAGGTTTTTGCAATTTACATCATCTTAAGTCACAGCATATTATTTAAAGGTAAGTACATGTACTGCATTTATAAGTAGTAAACCCTCAATATAAAGGACGTCTACATAACAGTCTTTGGAAATACAGAACAAAATCCACCGGGTCAATAAATTCGGAAATTTGGAAACGGTTAATACCTGGAGTTTACCTGGAGAGAGTTCCGGGGGTCAACGCCCCCGTGGCCCGGTCTGTGACCAGGCCTCCTGGTGGATCAGAGCCTGATCAACCAGGCTGTTGCTGCTGGCTGCACACAAACCAACGTACGAGCCACAGCCCGGCTGGTCAGGAACCGACTTTAGGTGCTTGTCCAGTGCCAGCTTGAAGACTGCCAGGGGTCTGTTGGTAATCCCCCTTATATATGCTGGGAGGCAGTTGAACAGTCTCGGGCCCCTGACACTTATTGTATGGTCTCTTAACGTGCTAGTGACACCCCTGCTTTTCATTGGGGGGATGTTGCATCATCTGCCAAGTCTTTTGCTTTCGTAGTGAGTGATTTTCGTGTGCAAGTTCGGTACTAGTCCCTCTAGGATTTTCCAGGTGTATATAATCATGTATCTCTCCCGCCTGCATTCCAGGGAATACAGGTTTAGGAACCTCAAGCGCTCCCAGTAATTGAGGTGTTTTATCTCCGTTATGTGCGCCGTGAAGGTTGGTCTGTTGGTTATAGAAATGTTGTTGTTCTTCTTTCAACGTACCAGCCGTATCCCACTGAGGCGGGGTGGCCCAAAAGAAAAAACTGAAGTTTCTCCTTTTAAATTTAGTAATATATACAGGAGAAGGGGTTACTAGCCCCTTGCTCCCGGCATTTTAGTCGCCTCTTACGACACGCATGGCTTACAGAGGAAGAATTCTGTTCCACTTCCCCATGGAGATAAGAGGAAATAAACAAGAACAAGAATTAGAAAGAAAATAGAAGAAAACCCAGAGGGGTGTGTATATATATGCTTGTACATGTATGTGTAGTGTGACCTAAGTGTAAGTAGAAGTAGCAAGACTTACCTATAATCTTGCATATTTATGAGACAAAAGACACCAGCAATCCTACCATCATGTAAAACAATTACAGGCTTTCGTTTTACACTCACTTGGCAGGACGGTAGTACCTCCCTGGGTGGTTGCTGTCTACCAACCTACTACCTACAAGAAATGTTGTTATTGTTACTATTATGGCACAACAATCTTTTCTCTCCTCCTCAATTGCCATTACAAACCACCCCCTGCACCCCATTAGTTCATTATGTCCAGAGTTTACTGTATATAAACCCTGTCTGATGAGGGAGCCTTAGTTGCTTGTGTCCATACTGCATCAAACCTTCTCATAAATTTTGGGATTGGATGAACCATATATTTTCTGCAATGTCTCAACACTTGTATGTTACACATCATGTGTATATTATTTATTCAATATATACACACAATAAATAGTTCTCAGGTTATAAAATATATACAGTAGTATAAATTAAGACAAGCATGCCATTCTGATGGCCTCATCGTTGCTTCCTGAGTCTTGCCTGCTCTAGGCGGTACAGCCAGACCTCAAAATGCTGTAACCCATCCGTAGCAAAGGAGATCACAGTGAAGAGAACTGTGTGAACAAGACACCAGTACTGCATCACCCACCAAGTACATATGAGGTACATCATACCTGTGGAAGATTTAGCCTATGTTAGATGAAAAAAGGAATTAAGATTATGTATGTGTTAGCTGTATGGATTTGTGAATTCTAGCCAGTAAATGATTGCAGTAGCATTTTTCAGTATGTGTACTGTGGAGTGAGAAACAGTATAGCATAATTAGTTGGCATAACTATTACTAAAACCCCTTCTTCTGCATAAATTACTAAATGTAAAAAGAAGTAAAGCTTGATAAGGTTTTCCTCTTTTTTTGAGTCGCCGTGCCTTGGTGGTGGGAAACAACTGGTATGTTGAAAAAATGCTATTACCCACAAGACCACTTATGAAGACAGAGAGGAAATACATATACAAGTCTACAATAAAATAACTTGTAATGCAAAATAAAATAAAAGCTTAATTATGTAAATGGAAATGTAAGGTAAAAATTACAGTGAAATAATAAATGAAGTAATAATAACAAAAGAATCAATCAATAAAACAGCATATGATGGACTTCATGCAGCTAGCACCAGCATCCTGGTTAGCCAGGATATGAACAAAGAGGCCTGGTCTAAGATCTGGCTATGGGATCAGTAACCATTGTAATCATCTTCAGTTAGTTAACTGTTTAATCAAAAAGATTTTCTAGTCTTGCGTAATTGGTTAATATGTGCGGTACAGTAAATAGTTCCTAAATTTTTCATAAGAGCAAAAAATAATAATTGTACTTATGTGTACCTGTACCAAAATAAAATGACTTGCCACTCAGAAAATGGGGAAACAGTGAGGCATACCTATCGTGAGGGGTGCCCAAAAAAAGGAAAGGGAAAGTGGGAGACATGAGTGAGGGTGGGGAGTGGCATTTGTACAGCCAGGGAAATGTCCTTGCTTAAGGGTGATCTCCAGCAGCTCGTCTTTCTCCATCCATACCTTCCCCAGCCACTCTCGCAATTCTTCCTCCTTCTGCGGAAGACTGCTGTGGGTGTCTGCCATACAGAGTTTGGATATTAAAATGCAGATTATTTTGCTTAATGCTTGTAATTTTCTATTTTTTGGGGAATGTTTAGATTTTGCAAGGATTCTGACAAAAAATTACTATAGAATTTACAAGTCAAAAGAATCAAAACAAAGAATTAATGGAAATTCTATGACCTGGGGTTTCCCCAAAATCACTGTTGTATTAAAGAATTCTAAAATTTTAACAGTAACACTTGAAAACAGTACAGTACTTAGTTTTACAAAATGCATCAGACTGAAAAGGGGCAATATTTAAATTCCCCACCTTTTCTCCAACTTTTTCATTAAGCAAAATGGGCCATAGGCCCGCTGCAGTGCTCCTCATGCATTATTCTTAGGTGGGCAATATCCTGCTGGCCAAGAGTTTGGATATGCTGAAACTCCCAGACCTCTGCAGGATTGTGTTACAAATCAAGTCTCGATTTAATGAATGCAAATAGTAATATTGCGAATGAAAATGAGGTTAGGTTGTAATAGCTACTCTAATACCACTTTGAGAACACAAGTAACGGCCTTGGCAAGTCAGTACTCAGCCATTCCTCACCTCTTGATGTGGAAGTGTACCTCCTCTGGCATGCGACCTTTAGCAAGGTCAAGCTCTGTGAGGGGTAAGGTCTTTGGGTATGCCACTGTTACGTCGTATACTGCATCTAGTTGCTCACCTGTAGACAAAAAGTTTGTCAGCGACACCAGCCATTAGCTCTCCTGTGGTGCTCCTCTTTTTTCTTGTTCCTAAGCTACCTCCACTATTACTTATACTGCTACTATCTCTTCACTAAAACTCCACCATCTGACCCCTTTTTTTCACTACCACTACTACCTTCTTATTACCACACTTCTTCCACTACTGCATTACTTTTGCTACTGCTGCTACTACTACTACTGCTACCACCACTTGTATCACTACCACTAGTACTACTACCACAATAATGCTATTCCCTCCTCTCGTTATACTACTCCCATCCCTGCCCCTTTCATATATATTCTGGCTCCCTTTCACATCCCTGTGTGATAGGTGAATGGCCCACATCGGACCAAAACAATGTCATAGGTTTCAGTCTCCTATGTGAGGATTATTTGTGTATTGTTTCAGCCACAACATTGTGCCATTTTAGTCTTTGCATGTGTGTGTGTGTGTACTCATCTGATTGTGGTTACAGGGGTTAAATCACAGCTCCTGGCCCTGCCTCTTCACTGGTCACCACTAGGTCCACTCTCTCCCTGCTCCATGAGCTTTATCATACCTCTTCTTAAAGCTGTGTATGGATCCTGCCTCCACTACATCACTCTCCAGACTATTTCACTTTCTGACAACTCTATGACTGAAGAAATACTTCCTAACATCCCTGTGACTTCTATGACTGAAGAAATACTTTCTAACATCTCTGTGATTCATCTGAGTCTTCAACTTTCAGTTGTGACCTCTTGTTGCTGTGTCCCGTCTCTGGAACATCCTGTCTCTGTCCACCTTGTCAGTTCCTCTCAGTATTTTATATGTCGTTATCATGTCCCCCCTCTCTCTCTTTCCCCCCTGTCGTCAAGTATATTTCTTGTGTGTGTGTGTTACCATTTTGTCCTAGCACATGTCGATTAGACACTAGGCCTGTTGTATATGTATGCGTGTGTGTGTATGTGCGTGCCATCCCACGCATTTGTGGTTGCAGGTGTAGTCTCAGCTCCTGGTCCTGCCTCTCTGGGCGTTACTAGGGTCACTCTCCTGGCTTCGTATGGATCCTCTACCATTTCGCTGTTGAAGTCATTCTAATTGCTGACCACTCTGAAGGCTCAAGGAAGTTACTCATTTGCATTTTTAACTTCAAGCTGTTATGCCCTTATGTACCTGCACCTGACACCCGCCTCTCCAGCAGACTTGCTTTGTACACCTTGTCAATTCCTCTCGGTATTTTACACGTCATAATCATGCCACCCATGATCCTTCTGCCCTCCAGTGACAGCAGGGTTAGCTTCTCTCGTCTTTCTTTGTACTCACCTAGTTGTGGTTGCAGGGGTCGAGTTACAGCTCCTGGTCCCGCCTCTTCACTGGCTACTCCTCGGTCACTTCCAGCTCCATGAGCTTTATCATACCTCTTCTTAAAGCTATGTATGGATCCTGCATCCACTACATCACTTCCCAAACTATTCCACTTCCTGACAACTCTGTGACTGAAGAAATACTTCCTAACATCCCTGTGGCTCATCTTTGTGTGTGTGTGTACTCACCTATTTGTGGTTGCAGGGGTCGATTCATAGCTCCTGGCCCCGCCTCTTCACTGACCTCTACTGGGTCCTCCCTCTCCCTGCTCCATGAGCTTTATCATACCTCGTCTTAAAATTATATATGGTTCCTGCCTCCACTACATCGCTTGTGTGTGTGTGTGTGTGTGTGTGTGTGTGTGTGTGTGGGAGAGAGAGAGAGATAGATTAAAAGTGGAATGAGCTTCTGTTGATCCTGAAAGGTGTCCCACATGTAGACAGGAAAGCAGCAGTGGATATGAGACTATATTTCGACTCCCAGCTGGAGTCCTCTTTAGGAGAATGTACAATAGAGAAGGAGGGTAACATCTATAGGATGAAAAGTTGAATGCAATACTACACTAGGCATACTGGTCCATGCCAACATTAAGTTACTGAAAATAATAAGTTGGACAAACATATACCGTTAGTGAGAATGGTTGGATGCCTCTGTCTGAAGGTCTGCTGCAGGGCTCCTGCATTCTTATGTTCTAATGCTGAGTAAAATATGCAGGACCTCTACATTTGTATTGCCAAGTTAGTCTATTGATCTAGCAAGCTTGGAGCCGGATTATTTTTTTTAAACCAAATTTATCCATTTGACAGACTGATTTTTTCTGAGTAAAGGGATGTACTCTCCTTTAAGTTTTGTCAGTGTAAGATGTATCTTTTTTGCTATAGACAATGAGGACCTTGCAGAGAATACAATAAACAAGAGGAGATAGTAGTTAGAAAACGTAAATAGAAAAGGTGAATAATAAAAGGAAAAGGAGGTCAGTATAGACTCAACTCCACTGGAAGATTGAAAAAGAGTAGCACATGGAATTATCATAATCATAACTAAGAACTAAACCCATAAGGGTCATACAACACTGATAGTAGAACATGGAAAAGCTTAGTGACGAGCCTCACTATTACGGAGTTTGTTGACTAGGAAGGTGAAGCCGGTGGTGCGAGGATGTAAGACGTGGGTGAGACACGGAAGACCTGTCTTCTGTGCGTACTCGTTGCTCTTCTTCTGCGTCGCCGGCGTCAGGTTGGTGCCCTCAGGGAAGAGCAGCACCTGCAACACATAATACAACCTCAAGTAAGAGCAGCACCTGCAACACATAATACAACCTCAAGTAAGAGCAGCACCTGCAACACATAATACAACCTCAAGTAAGAGCAGCACCTGCAACACATAATACAACCTCAAGTAAGAGCAGCACCTGCAACACATAATACAACCTCAAGTAAGAGCAGCACCTGCAACACATAATACAACCTCAAGTAAGAGCAGCACCTGCAACACTTAATACAACCTCAAGTAAGGCAGCACCTGCAACACATAATACAACCTCAAGTAAGAGCAGCACCTGCAACACTTAATACAACCTCAAGTAAGAGCAGCACCTGCAACACATAATACAACCTCAAGTAAGAGCTGAAGGGGGTAGGAGAGTTTCAGTGGGGGGAAATAAATGGGATTAAATCTGGAGTATCTGAGAGAGTTAGAGCAAAGGAAGGGGTAGCAGTAATGTTAAATGATCAGTTATGGAAGGAGAAAAGAGAATATGAATGTGTAAATTCAAGAATTATGTGGATTAAAGTAAAGGTTGGATGCGAGAAGTGGGTCATAATAAGCGTGTATGCACCTGGAGAAGAGAGGAATGCAGAGGAGAGAGAGAGATTTTGGGAGATGTTAAGTGAATGTATAGGAGCCTTTGAACCAAGTGAGAGAGTAATTGTGGTAGGGGACTTGAATGCTAAAGTAGGAGAAACTTTTAGAGAGGGTGTGGTAGGTAAGTTTGGGGTGCCAGGTGTAAATGATAATGGGAGCCCTTTGATTGAACTTTGTATAGAAAGGGGTTTGGTTATAGGTAATACATATTTTAAGAAAAAGAGGATAAATAAGTATACACGATATGATGTAGGGCGAAATGACAGTAGTTTGTTGGATTATGTATTGGTAGATAAAAGACTGTTGAGTAGACTTCAGGATGTACATGTTTATAGAGGGGCCACAGATATATCAGATCACTTTCTAGTTGTAGCTACACTGAGAGTAAAAGGTAGATGGGATACAAGGAGAATAGAAGCATCAGGGAAGAGAGAGGTGAAGGTTTATAAACTAAAAGAGGAGGCAGTTAGGGTAAGATATAAACAGCTATTGGAGGATAGATGGGCTAATGAGAGCATAGGCAATGGGGTCGAAGAGGTATGGGGTAGGTTTAAAAATGTAGTGTTAGAGTGTTCAGCAGAAGTTTGTGGTTACAGGAAAGTGGGTGCAGGAGGGAAGAGGAGCGATTGGTGGAATGATGATGTAAAGAGAGTAGTAAGGGAGAAAAAGTTAGCATATGAGAGGTTTTTACAAAGTAGAAGTGATGCAAGGAGGGAAGAGTATATGGAGAAAAAGAGAGAAGTTAAGAGAGTGGTGAAGCAATATAAAAAGAGAGCAAATGAGAGAGTGGGTGAGATGTTATCAACAAATTTTGTTGAAAATAAGAAAAGTTTTGGAGTGAGATTAACAAGTTAAGAAAGCCTAGAGAACAAATGGATTTGTCAGTTAAAAATAGGAGAGGAGAGTTATTAAATGGAGAGTTAGAGGTATTGGGAAGATGGAGGGAATATTTTGAGGAATTGTTAAATGTTGATGAAGATAGGGAAGCTGTGATTTCGTGTATAGGGCAAGGAGGAATAAATCTTGTAGGAGTGAGGAAGAGCCAGTTGTGAGTGTGGGGGAAGTTCGTGAGGCAGTAGGTAAAATGAAAGGGGGTAAGGCAGCTGGGATGATGGGATAAAGATAGAAATGTTAAAAGCAGGTGGGGATATAGTTTTGGAGTGGTTGGTGCAATTATTTAATAAATGTATGGGAGAGGGTAAGGTACCTAGGGATTGGCAGAGAGCATGCATAGTTCCTTTGTATAAAGGCAAAGGGGATAAAAGAGAGTGCAAAAATTATAGGGGGATAAGTCTGTTGAGTGTACCTGTAAAGTGTATGGTAGAGTTATAATTGAAAGAATTAAGAGTAAGACGGAGAATAGGATAGTAGATGAACAAGGAGGCTTTAGGAAAGGTAGGGGGTGTGTGGACCAGGTGTTTACAGTGAAACATATAAGTGAACAGTATTTAGATAAGGCTAAAGAGGTCTTTGTGGCATTTATGGATTTGAAAAGGCGTATGACAGGGTGGATAGGGGGGCAATGTGGCAGATGTTGCAAGTGTATGGTGTAGGAGGTAGGTTACTGAAAGCAGTGAAGAGTTTTTACGAGGATAGTGAGGCTCAAGTTAGAGTATGTAGGAAAGAGGGAAATTTTTTCCCAGTAAAAGTAGGCCTTAGACAAGGATGTGTGATGTCACCGTGGTTGTTTAATATATTTATAGATGGGGTTATAAGAGAAGTAAATGCGAGGGTCTTGGCAAGAGGCGTGGAGTTAAAAGATAAAGAATCACACACAAAGTGGGAGTTGTCACAGCTGCTCTTCGCTGATGACACTGTGCTCTTGGGAGATTCTGAAGAGAAGTTGCAGAGATTGGTGGATGAATTTGGTAGGGTGTGCAAAAGAAGAAAATTAAAGGTGAATACAGGAAAGAGTAAGGTTATGAGGATAACAAAAAGATTAGGTGATGAAAGATTGAATATCAGATTGGAGGGAGAGAGTATGGAGGAGGTGAACGTATTCAGATATTTGGGAGTGGACGTGTCAGCGGATGGGTCTATGAAAGATGAGGTGAATCATAGAATTGATGAGGGAAAAAGAGTGAGTGGTGCACTTAGGAGTCTGTGGAGACAAAGAACTTTGTCCTTGGAGGCAAAGAGGGGAATGTATGAGAGTATAGTTTTTCCAACGCTCTTATATGGGTGTGAAGCGTGGGTGATGAATGTTGCAGCGAGGAGAAGGCTGGAGGCAGTGGAGATGTCATGTCTGAGGGCAATGTGTGGTGTGAATATAATGCAGAGAATTCGTAGTTTGGAAGTTAGGAGGAGGTGCGGGATTACCAAAACTGTTGTCCAGAGGGCTGAGGAAGGGTTGTTGAGGTGGTTCGGACATGTAGAGAGAATGGAGCGAAACAGAATGACTTCAAGAGTGTATCAGTCTGTAGTGGAAGAAGGCGGGTAGGGGTCGGCCTAGGAAGGGTTGGAGGGAGGGGGTAAAGGAGGTTTTGTGTGCGAGGGGCTTGGACTTCCAGCAGGCATGCATGAGCGTGTTTGATAGGAGTGAATGGAGACAAATGGTTTTTAATACTTGACGTGCTTGTTGGAGTGTGAGCAAAGTAACATTTATGAAGGGATTCAGGGAAACCGGCAGGCCGACTTGAGTCCTGGAGATGGGAAGTACAGTGCCTGCACTCTGAAGGAGGGGTGTTAATGTTGCAGTTTAAAAACTGTAGTGTAAAGCACCCTTCTGGCAAGACAGTGATGGAGTGAATGATGGTGAAAGTTTTTCTTTTTCGGGTCACCCTGCCTTGGTGGGAATCGGCCAGTGTGATAATAAAATAATAAATAAGTAAGAGCAGCACCTGCAACACATAATACAACCTCAAGTAAGAGTAGCACCTGCAACACATAATACAACCTCAAGTAAGAGTAGTACCTGCAACACATAATACACCTTCAAGGAAGAGCAACACATAAAATACCCTCAAGGAAGAGCAACACCTGCAACACATAATATACCTTCAGGAAGAGCAGTATCTGCAACACATACCCTCAAGGAAGAGCAGCACCTGCAACACATAATATACCTTCGAAGAAGAGCAGCACCTGCAACACATAATATACCCTCCAGGAAAAGCAGCACCTGCAACACATAATATACCCTCAAGGAATAGCAGCACCTGCAACACATATACCCTCAAGGAAGAGCAACACCTGCAACACATACCCTCGAGTAAGAGCACCTGCAACACATAATATACCCTCCAGGAAAAGCAGCACCTGCAACACATAATATACCCTCCAGGAAAAGCAGCATCTGCAACGCATAATATACCATCAAGGAAGAGCAGCACCTGCAACACATAATATACCATTAAGGAAGAGCAGCACATGCAACACATAATATACCATTAAGGAAGAGCAGCACCTGCAACACATAATATACCATTAAGGAAGAGCAGCACATGCAACACATAATATACCATTAAGGAAGAGCAGCACCTGCAACACATACCCTCGAGAAACAGCAGTATCTGCAACGCCTCATAATATCATGATGTAAATGAATATTTTATCACATGAACATAAATTTCTTGTGACTGCAAATATCGATGTATTTCTCCTATTATAACCTCATCTTAGTTGTCTAGACAGAATTAGATGCAGCTACACTGCCCGTAGTGTCACTCTGTGTCATGGGCTGCCAATGATACCTTCTGCCTTGCCTCAGAGAATTTCCCCTCCTATCTGTTGCTGTCTTGCAACATTGCATATCTCCTGACGACGCACGAGAGTGCGAAAGATATAGGGCTGAAGATTTCTATCTCTATGTGGCTTGTTCTGCATTATTAAGATCGCCTCTTTGCTATTGTAATGCATTTCTAGTGGATCTTCTCTCTCTCTCTCTCTCTCTCTCTCTCTCTCTCTCTCTCTCTCTCTCTCTCTCTCTCTCTCTCTCTCTCTCTCTCTCTCTCTCTCTCTCTCTCTCTCTCTCCCTCTTCCTCTCCCTCTCCCTCTCCCTCCTCTTTCTCTTTCTCTCTCCACAGGTATACCTGGAAGGTGTGGTCGATGTCTCTGAAATAATCTAGAACGTTGTTCATGAGTCTCTGGTCGTCCTCCCAGCGACGACGGATGTACAGGAAACACGACATTTGCATGATCCAGCCTGGGGACACAACAACACAATGAGGCCGCTAACACCGTCTAGTATTAATGTTTTTATATCAGAAAAGAGTTGTATTTAGGTAAAAGTAGATTAAACTTTGCAAGCTCTACGTCTCATAACAAAAGTTTAGGTATTATAGTGATGAAAGGCTTTGATTCTAGAGAGGTGCTCATAGGTCAAACATGATTGTCATTCCCCATTAATGTAACAATCAGTCTTCACAACTAATAATTACTGTCTTATGGAGTTAAAGGTTAAGAATAATCTATAAAGAGATAAACTTCATCAGTCATAGATATGTATTAAATATGTATAAACAACACAAAGTGCAAATTCATGCGACACTACTACGGGGTGCCTTAATGCTGGCGAGGGCCTCTTGATCCAAGAAGTTAGAGCTATTCCTCCCCTTCCTCGGATCAAATCTCATTACTTCCCACAACCTAGGAACTGTATGACCTTCCAACGTGTTTAGAGCTTTCCCAAGAATATAATAATCACATGTCGCTGACCGAGTCCTGGGAACTTCCTGATGCCAGACTTGAGGACAATCTTGCAGTTGTGTGTTGGAGGGTAGGTGGCGTGGGCCAGCGCTCCCCAGAAGAAGTTCCAGTCGAGACGGTTCCTGTGATTGAGGATGATAATGGAGGTCTCCTCAGGACGGATCAAGTCCCCGGATAAGAAGAACCTCACCCCAAACACCACCTCCATCAGCGCCTGCACGGGAAGGAACACTCTCAAATATTGTTAAGTAGATATCCTTAAATCATACAGTCTCCTATATTGTATATATATATATCATCTTGTAATAATGTTGGTAGAATTGCCGACAATATGTTAAGTAAAAGGACACAAGTACAACTAATACGATATTTTATTGTGTCAGGGGCCCAAGACTGTTCAACTGCCTCCCAGCATACATAAGGGGAATTACAAATAGACCCCTGGCTGTCTTCAAGAAGACGCTGGACAGGCACGTAGCTAAGGTCAGTACCCGATCAGTCGGGCTATGGTTCCTACGTCGGTTTATGTGCGGCCAGCAGCAACAGCTGGTTGATCAGACCCTGATCCACCACGAGGCCTGGTCTCTGACCGAGCCGCGGGGGCGTTGACCCCCGAAACCCTCTCTAGGTACACTCCAGGTCTCCAGGCTTGACAAAGCTCCTGGAGAGCGAAACGTTATCACAATAAAATTAGTTGACTTGTGTCCTTGTACTTAACATATATTATCTTTTTTATTGGTTATCTGCTATAACTCCTACGGGTCATCTAAAGGAAGTGGAGAATACTTACTTAATAAAACTTCATACATCAGCAGTCTGTTCCTACCTATTCTCCAGGACTTTAACATTGTTGGCATGAAAGCTAACTGTTTCCTTGTTATATTTCATCATACAGGATGAGTTACATGCATGGGGTAATAAAATCTGTCAGCCTGAACTGAGAGACGTCAGTAGGACCATGGGGATATCGTCAAGTATTCCACTGCAGCAGCTTTAAAGGTTTTGTTACAGCAGAGCTGGAGTTACTATTACATGTCCCCTCAAGGGAAGTGCCTTGATGCAGGTGAAAGGGGGCTCTTGATTTAAAGAAGTGAACTTTTCCTCCAGTTCTTTGAATCGAACCTGAATGCCTCCCTTTCCCCCTCCCCCTTTCGAGCTGTATGTGCATTACAACTGCTGCTTAGGCGGATGCATGACTCCTGCGGGTTTAGCGCTTCCCATGCATAATATAATTGGAATTTTGTTGTTCTCGGATTAGATTTAGATTTTGCCACCGAAGTGGCTAGTTTATTGTGCACCCCATATCCATCCTGTGGACGGTAGCGCGAGTTGTTCTCGGGCGCCTGTTCTTTCAAGAAATTCACCATCGCTCGCACACCAAGCCACAATTGCAACAGTAACACTGTAAAAAAAAAAAAATACCACAAACTGAGTCAGGAGTGAGAATATGATCATCAGGATCATGATGTCTACCATTATCAAAAATGAGAATTAGAAAGGAAATTGGGGCGAGCACTATGCCTCATGAGTCAAACTGGCCTCGAGTGACGCTTGGCTACCTTCTGACGCCGTACGTCCAGCAAGGTTTGCAGAACGGTACGGTATGGAATTCGGTATGGTACGATTTATTTCTTTTCAAGTACCATAAGGAGTTACAGAACGGTATTTCTGACAGGTACAAAAAACGTAAAAAAAATACCATACCGTACTGCTAACCTTAAGGCTGAGAGAACGGTACGTTACAGTACCTACAGTTTTTTTTAAGTACGGTACAGAATTATTGTACGTTATTTCTGACAGGTACGAAAAGCGGAAAACTTACTGTACCTTACCTTACTTCCAGCCTTGACGTGCAGGGACTCTTAAACACTTCAGATGTTTACACCAACTGTGTCGAATTAAAAATGACGAGGGGAAAGGGGTTAAGAGGAAAGAGGGGAATTGTTGACATAAGGGAAGAGGGGGAGGGTGGTGGCGGGTCCACCAGGCTTAAGATTAAAAATAAATTCGTTCAGTTTGCGCAGGGGAAAAATGGGATTCAGAATTATCTATATTTTTTTCAAGCTCTAGGGAATTGGACAACCTTCCCCTTCCTCGGATCAAACCTGATTACTTCCATTCTCCTTGGATCCAAGTTAGCAGTTTCCCCTCTATCGCCGAACTTGGTTCTTTCCACCCATCAGTTGGGGGGGGGGGAGCGGGTTCCTTGATGACAGGTCGTGATTCAAGGAACTAGAATTAGTCTTCCTTTAGTTGGATCAAACATGATTATCTCCCATTCCCTATTGGCTATATGATCTCAACTATTTTAGCACTCCCTCTTGAATATATATATATATATATATATATATATATATATATATATATATATATATATATATATATATATATATATATATGGGAGCAAGGGGCTAGTAACCCCTTCTCCTGTATATATTACTAAGTGTAAAAGGAGAAACTTTCGTTTTTCCTTTTGGGCCACCCTGCCTCTGTGGGATACGGCCGGTGTGTTGAAAGAAAAAATATATATATATATATATATATATATATATATATATATATATATATAACATGTATATATGTGTGTGTGTGTGTGTACTCACCTAATTGTACTCACCTAATTGTGGTTGCAGGGGTCGAGACTCAGCTGGCCCCCGCCTCTTCACTGATCGCTACTAGGTCCTCTCCCTCTCTGCTTCCTGAGCTGTCATACCTCTTCTTAAAACTATGTATGGTTCCTGCCTCCACTACTTCACTAGCTAGGCTATTCCACTTCCTGACGACTCTGACTGAAGAAATACTTCCTAATGTCCCTGTGACTCGTCTGAGTCTTCAGCTTCCAGTTGTGACCCCTTGTTTCTGTGTCCCCTCTCTGGAACATCCTATCTCTGTCCACCTTGTCTATTCCCCGCAGTATCTTGTATGTCGTTATCATGTCTCCCCTGACCCTTCTGTCCGCCAGTGTCGTCAGTCCAATTTCCCTCACCTTTCCTCGTACGACATTCCCCTGAGCTCTGGGACTAGCCTTGTTGCAAACCTTTGTACTTTCTCTAACTTCTTGACGTGCTTGACCAGGTGTGGGTTCCAGACTGGTGCTGCATACTCCAGTATGGGCCTGACATACACAGTGTACAGTGTCTTGAACGATTCCTTATTAAGGTATCGGAACGCTATTCTCAGGTTTGCCAGGCGCCCATATGTTGCAGCAGTTATTTGGTTGATGTGTGCCTCCGGTGACGTGCTCGGTGTTATGGTCACCCCAAGGTCTTTCTCCCTGAGTGAGGTCTGTAGTCTTTGTCCACCTAGCCTATACTCTGTCTGCGGTCTTCTTTGCCCCTCCCCAATCTTCATGACTTTGCATTTGGCAGGATTGAATTCGAGAAGCCAGTTTTCTGTGGTTTGTGTGTGTGTGTGTGGTGTGTGTGTGTGTGTGTGTGTGTGTGTGTGTATTTTGTCTTTAAATAAAATATATATTAAATATAGGGGGTGGTAGGAGAAAATTCTCAAACAGCTTCAGGGAGAACCTTGAGTTTTCCCTGAAGCAAGTTTATTCTTTTCTCTGAGGATGAGGGTCCCCAGGACAGTTCTAGAGGTGGTACCTAATACTATATATATATATATATATATATATATATATATATATATATATATAATATATATATATATATATATATATATATATATATATAGTATATATATATATATATATATATATATATATATATATATATATATATATATATATATATATATATATATATATATATATATATATATATATACGTATATGTTTGTACGCGTGTGTGTGTGTACACAAACAGAGCGACTCACCACAGCATAACACTCCCACATAGTGAAGACAATCTCGGTGGCTTTCCTGTAGATGGGTAGGGAGATGACCAGCAGGGGCAGCATGGGGCAGTACAGGGAGAAGAAGCCCATTAAAATCGACCCATACCTACAAGTGAATACTTAATGAGTTTATTATTAAAGACTGGCAGTAATTTTCTTGTTACGATGAAATTGTCAAATGGAGAATAAAAATAAGTCAAGTCACAATGCCATGGCTGGAACAAATCACAAATAATTCGCAATTAGACGACGTTTCTGTCATCAGTTGTAACTTGACATTAATACAGGACAGACCGAAAAGTGGCTACAAGGCTCGTCTCCTAAGTACGTGTTATTTGTGAAATTATAAAAAAAAAAACATTATTTCACGGAATTCAGGAAACTTGGAAAAAAAGTGTGTTTGTGTGTTTACCTTAAAAAAAAAAAGTGGTTGTAGTAAGACTTAGGAAAGAGTCTTTTAACTATTTTTAATGAGACTTGATTTATGTTATATATTATAATAAGTGGGTTAGCTCTTTCTATGAATACAATCATTGTGTACATACCGGGGAAAATAAGCATAATTGCTTCATTAAATGAACAGGAAATTTGTTAATATGGTTTGATTACAATAATTTAAACTACCAATACTAATAATTGTTGAGATGTACTACACATGAGTACCCTCATACATAATTACAAGGTAGCAATTCATCCTTGCCTACTTAAATTTTCCAACTGGCAGAAGGAAGTATCAAATTTTAGTTTATTACGTTCCAAACGTAAATATCCTAATGTTTCTTATAACTTTAAATACTGCCTTTTTTATTTTAAGTTAAACTTGGGTAGGGGGGCAGGTTACACAAGCTATGTAAACATATTTAACCTCAGTGTAGTTATGTATAATGCTTTGAAAATAATAATAAAAAGAATTTTAATTTCATTAAAAAAATCGGCCGCAAATCCCACAACGATGTGGTTCAGCAACAGATTTAGATTTTAACCCCTAAGTGGCTAGTTTATTGTGCACCCCATATCCATCCCGTGGACGGTAGTACAGGAGCATATGGATACACAATAGACCTAGGAACTAGGCCCCGAAAGGGTTTACAGGAGTACGTCTGATGTTATATCTACAGTTCACTTATCTGTTGCAAGCAAATATAAGAAATTTGCAAAAGGAACCATTGAAATCTGCAAGAATGATAGCAGTATCTAGACAGGTGGGCAGCACTAACTTTCCCCATTTCCTCTACAGGAAACTAGTGCTCTTACCACATAACGACGAAGGCAATGCCCTTGAGCCAGTCCTGCCAGCCCACCGCCATCACGTCTACTCCCCTCACATTCAAGGACTTTGGTCTCTCTTGCTTAGATGCGATGCTTCCTGTTGTTACCTCAGTGCCGCCGCCCACCTCTGGTAAACCCACCGTCATCATCAGATAGGTCTTTGTACCTGTTGGAAGGGGATACCCAGGGTTAGTTTTTGTGAGTTCTGGGTAGGTGTATTAGAAGAAACGTTTAAACAAATTCTTAATTATAAGAACAACTTTAATGGGGTATCGAATTTAAATGCAATAAAAGGCTATTGTGCCAACTGATGAGAAGCCTGATGTTGACAACTAGCTCACAATTTCAAGAGAAAACTAAATGACGTTTCAGTCTATCTTGGAACATTGTTACTCACCGCTACTTGATGGTCCAGGAAGGACCGAAACATCATCCAATGTTTCCTCCTAATTGTGGGTTTTTAATTGCTCATTGCACGGTACTGTGATTTATTCAAATGTCACATTAGCTAACTACTCGAGGGAGGTTCCTTGACACCGAGAAGGGCTCATGATCCAAGAAAATTGCCTCCCATTACCCTAGGCGTTGTATGACCCATACTGGTTTAGCACCCCCTCCCATTGAATGTAATAATAATAATAATAAGTTAGATTAACGTTTATTAGCTTATATTTTCGTATGATTACTTGAGAATAAAAAAAGAATGGCTTACGTTTGACAGCACGGGCATATACTGAATCTTCGTCCGTTCATCTCCACACGCGCAGTTAAATTTGAATGACGGGTTGTTATGTGAAAGTCAAATTTTGGGAAGCTAAGATAGACATGCTTTCACCAAACAGGATGAAATCTATCAGCCTGAGCTAACAGTGAGGATATCATCAAGTATTCCACTATTGGTTCAGTAGCTTTGGAAGCTTAATTAAAATGTTTCTTTGCAGCAAAGCTGGAATTTCCTGACAAGTGTGTTGCAGCAGCGTTGGTCGAGCAGGCTGGAGGAAGGTACTAGGATATGCTGCTGGTGAGCCGCCAGGCAAGCCAGCCGCGTCACCTTTAATTTAATATGGAAATGTTATTTTCTCGTCAACCGTTTCGTATGCACATCCCCCCCACTCCTCCCCATTTTTATCCTCGCCACCCTCTCATTACCCCTTTCCCTTTCCACCTTCCTCTGCCCCTTTCACTTTCCACCCTCCTCTGCCCCTTTCCTTTTCCACCTTCTGCCCCTTTCCTTTTCTACCCTCTGCCCTTTCCCTACCACCCTCATTCGCCTCCCTCTGGGACACACTTCCGCCTGTCACTAGCAGAACTTGTTAGTTATCTGAATCATTGCAAGTCGGTCACCCACAGCACCACACCAGCCTCCAGGCACTAAAATCGCCGTAGTTTGTTCATTCAACAGCACCACAACCAGAGTCGCAAGAACTGTTAAGAATCCACAATCTCCTGAGCTCGCTATTGGGAGAAATATGCAAGACTTGTTACTTCATAAAGGTTCTTCAGCTGAAGGAAATCTCGGAATCACTACTATTTCTCAGGCATACTTCAGTAAAATATATTATATGTGATTATAGTGTGTGTGAGGAGGTGTTTTGGTAGTAGAATTGAGATAAACTGGCCAGATAGGTTTGGGATCTTTATCAAATTAAAATTATTGATACTATTATATTCAAGGGGAAGTGCTAAACCTGTAAGGGTCCAATAGCAATCTATCAACGAGCCATAACCATTGAATATTATTTCATTCATGGAGAGCGCTAAACCCGTAAGAATAATAGCGCCTGGGGGAATAAGGTTCGATCCAAGGAAGGGAAGGTCAGATCCAATTCCTTGGATCAAGAGCCCCTCACCTGCATCAAGACACCTTCCTTGAGGAGACACCCAATGATTAGAATAAATTACTCGAACACGCTTACTGCATGTAACTTCTTGGCGGCCATGTTTGGAACGAGGCTGTGGTGGTGGCCCGCTTTATTCCCTGTAAAATAAGTGTGATGAGCAGTGTACTCAAATTGTTTTCCCTTCTAAAATGTGCGACTAGGTTGCGAGGAGTATGGCATTTAATACATTGATTTTGTAAGTAAGAATCTGTGGCGGTTTTTATATCTTTTGTTTTTGGACTGACATCTGGCGTGAGTCTTGATTTGTTGTAGCTTCTCTGAAAACATTGTTGGTTTGGTGGTTTTAATGGGAGTTATTCAGTTTTACCATATTTATTTATTAAACTGCTTATTCGTGTGTTCATTATTTGCATTGCATAACTATGTGAACTACAAATTTCTTCCCTTTGGGACTTTGGTAGAGTGAAATAACCAGGGTATTTTTTTTAGTAAGAAGTTATTTGTTGGCCAGGACAAATAGCTTTTTTTAATAACCCGCATTAAAGTCCCCAAGACTTCTACCACGGTCACTGCCACCGGTCAATCACCAGCATCATCATCTGTCACCCGTCATTCGTTACGACCACCACCTGTCTATCATTGGAATCCTCATTATTTGCCGGTTACCAAGGTAATTACTATCTGCTTCAAGCCACCACTGTCACCATCAGCCAGTCATCACCACCACCTGTCAGTGTTGTGACTACCACCATTATCTACCAGTCACTAGGATCATTACTACCTGCTTACAGCCACAACTATCACCTGTCAATCACCACTACCATCTGTAGGTCACAAACATCAGCACCACCTGTCAGTTACAAACATCAGCACCACCTCTCAATTACCAACACCACCATCTGTCAGTCATAAACGTCAGCACCACCTGTCAATCACCACCATCTGTCAGTCACAAGCATCAGCACCACCTGTCAATCACAGGTACCATCCTGTCCCTGTTCATCTCCGTCTCTGTACATCACCAACTTTTTAACAGAATAGTAGTTTGTAGTTAGTATAGAAAATATATTTCAAGCTTATGCTATAAGCTCTACTGCTTCATTCTCCGATATAAAATAGCGTGTAATAGGATTAACGTTCACGAAAATAGTCTAGGAAGCCATTGGATTCCTCTCCTTGGCACTCGATTCTCTCTGTCTACACCTGATCCCTCCCCGGCCGGCTTGGGAACCGGTTTGATCATTAGAGCAACGTTAAGTGAGCCATGCATCCCGTCTTCACTGGGACATGAACAAAATTTGACCTAAAATGCAATTCGATTTTGCCGTTGGAGAAGTGAAAAGACGAGATATCTCGAGATGCACTCGTGTTGGTCATGAAGACCACGCCAAACTTGGTCATCAAGACCACACCAGACCTGGTCATGAACACACCTGACCTGGTCGTGAAGGCCACGCCAAACCTAGTCATGAAGATCACACCAGACCTGGTCATGAAGACCACGCCAAACCTAGTCATGAAGACAACTTTAGACCTGGTCATGTAGACTGTGCCAGACCTGGTTATAAAGATCACACCAAACTTTGTTATGAAGACTACCACGCCTTATTATTTTCTAATTGCCATTAACATTGTATCCGAACATGAATACGCACAGGTATTCAGATTTTCTATTGTCATTTGATGCAAATGTGACCCACAGGGGTTGAATATCAACATTATTGGTGATGCTTTCTACATCGTAATAAATCATTTTGTGCAAGTGAGAGGCAATTTCCTATCTGCTGTTTGCAGCCTAACACATTAATTTTTCCCTTCACAACACATAAAAACATGTTATCAATTTTTTAATTGACTTTAATGCCAGAAGCTCAGAATTTCTTATTCTGTAAAAAAAATTCCACGACAGGCTGTCTAAATTGTTATGTGTATTTCCTGCTGGCACACCATAAGCTAAATCATCGTTTATTTTATTATAATCATGAGGACGCTCTACATAGGGATTCATACAGCGCTGTGGTTGAAGTATTCAGCTCAATTCTGGAATGGAGCACAGACCAATTCCATAGATCAAGAGCCCCTCACCAGCATCAAGGAACCTCCCATGAGGGGCTAAATTCATCAGACTTCGTCATTTACGCTAGTGAAGGGCTCTTGACCCCAAAAATTTAAACCACCTCTTTCACTAGATCGTATCTAATTGTCTTCCCCTACGGGTATAGGGTTCCCCTTTAATGTAATAATAAAATTTTCGGACCTCAGCATTCCCTCTTTAAAGTTATTTTACTCGACATACCCTAACCGTAAATAATCAGCTTACATAGTAATTCCATTAACGGTGAACGTACTATAGTAACCAGAGAAAGGTAAACACACAACAGTACACTGTCGCTATGTAATAAACTGGAAACTTAACGCTTGTACAAGGATGGGCTGCCTCGGGTAACGCTACAGATTGTTTTGGCCAATAAATATATCCACTTCAAAACCCTAAAGGGTAAACCAACCTAGAGAAAGCGTCGAAGTTTAACCTTTGACTAACTTCCCCGGAGGACGACAACACGAACTCTCTTTTGTTTGTTGTTTTTCTGAGCTGTGATACGGAGGTGTAGGTCAGGTTACTTCAGTAACTGGAGACGGCAACGAGGAGGAGTTGGAGGTGCGGAGCCATGAAGGTAATAGTGTGTATCAACATGGGTGTTGTGGCCAGGTGTGTGGCGACGGGTGAGTGACGTGTGTGACAGGTGTTCTCCTGTCATCACCTCTCATTAATGTGATATTTTTGGGACTTTTCTTTTTGAGGGGAGAGGTGTGAATCAGGTATTTAAATTTATTAATACTCTTACACCTGCACTTGTATTTATTTATACTCTCTAGCACGGGGGATGCAAACATATATCTTCAGTGTGGTTATTAGGGTAATATATTTTTATTGTGCACCCTTATGGTTTAGCGCTTTTTTTATTATAATTTATTGTGCACCACATGCCAACCTAGGTATTGGGCCCCACCTCAACAGGAGAAAGGAAAATTTGCAAAATGCTTTCCAACTTTTTACTGTATACAATAAGCAAAAGCATGGCAGCGTGTTGAAAATCCCAGGTGGAGGCAGCAAAGCTGTCTGCAGATCCTGATAATACCTTCTTACAGCGACAGCAAAAAAGAGCATCTCTTTCCACGACGTCAGGTGTTGCTACGTGTAGTGATTCTTATTTCTCTCTCTCTCTCTCGCTCTCTCTTTCTCAGTTAATATTGTATTAGTTTTTTTTTCTTACATCTTCATCACCATGAACTTAAAAATATACTGAAATAGCCATTTACCGGACCATTCTTTTAATTTTTCCGTGTTTTCCCTCATTTGTTTCAAGTTTTTCTCCTGATTCCCAAAAGTTATATAAAATTGACTATATGATATTCCCACAAGTTATATAATATTGATAGCTGTCTTTTGTTTGTCGAGGACTTGCATTTCCTGTGTGCAAACTTTGTGAGGCACCAAAGGCGTTCAAAGTCTAGGAACATGTAGTTTACCTACCCATCCAGTCTTTGTCTTGTCTACAAACATGTGAAGAAAAGATGGGTTGTACTTGCAGAACAAGCTTTTTCTTACTTTCTAATTTTTGCTCTACAAAGGGCAAAACGTTGTTCATATCAAAGGGTGTTCTGCAAATTGTGTTGTTCCTTCACCAGTGTCGGCAGTAAGTCATATGGATCCTGCTTCAGGTCTTTTATCACAGAACTTGATTAAATTTGCGACGCATGATTTCTTGCGCGGTGTAATTACCCGGTCCTAGTTACAGAGGCTGCGCTTGTAGTGCCCTATCTTCTTTAATTAATTTGCATGCGTGTGTGATTGTGTATATGTGTAGTTAGCAGACTCTAATTACTTCCCGTGTTTTTAATTTCGATTGAATTAGGTATGTCCCAGGACACAGTGTGTGGTGATTCGTTGTTATTATACGGGTTATGTTTGTTTTTAAATGGATTATGTTTGGTAAAAAAAAATGTCAGGAGTCACTTTCCCGTTTCCTGACGAATAAAACATAACCTCTACAGAATGAAGTGGTTAGGTTGTACCATATCTAATTCGAATGCCTACTTTGAACTCTGCTGCTAGTACCAACAGCCTAGTCTGGGGCCGGGCAAGCCTGGTGATGACAACAGGAATCGGTTACATCACAAACTTTTCTGGGGCTATCCTAGGTAATTTACACTATGTATGGTAATTGTACTTATGTGTACCTGTGCCTTAACTTACAGTTTGAAATTATGTATAGGGTGAGCCGCTTCCTAGCTGATTCCACTTGTATTCTTTGCAACAACCTTTACACAGTAAAAGAACCTGATGAGTTTTCAGCTTCTACTTCTGTGACTCAAGAAATCGTAATGACACGATGCAAACAAACCATACCCCCGGCCGGGATTGAACCCGCGGTCATAGAGTTTTGAGTTTTGAGACTCTATGACCGCGGGTTCAATCCCGGCCGGGGGTATGGTCTACTTCTGTGTTTACGTACACATTATACTCTCCAAGACTGTATAGTAATAGGGGATTTTAACTTTATTCAAACTGACTGGACATCTTTGACCGGCAATCTGGAGCCCAGTGACTCCCTGGAAGTTAATAACTTGTATGGGACAGTAGGTCTGCTGCACTGTTTCTCCATTCTGATATGAGGAGGAAAACAGAGGTAAGGGAAGATGGATAGACAACAGAAGTAAGCGGCGATGGGCGGAAAACAGATGTAAGGGTGAAGGAAGGATAAATGAGAGGAATGAGAAGGGGGGAAATAGAAAGACAGATGAGAGGAAAAGACGAAAGGAGAAGAGTGGAGGAAAATGAACGATGAAAGAAAGCAGAGACAAGCGCGCTGATATGTCATCTAGGAAAGTAATTATTCCAGTCTATACTTGGCATCATCTGATTGCCCTATTCACCGTGGGTGCGCGTGTATACCCCCTCCCACATGTGTTCCTGTCCCTACCCCCCCCATACGTGTATTCCCCATCCTTCAAGCAGCAATGAATAAAACAGAATCCGTCAGATGGTCTCAGACCATCTGACGGATCATGGTCATGAGATGACCCTGGGCAGTTAGCGCCCTGGTCCTGTTTCCTCCTGTGGTCACAACAGCAGCTACCGCTACTTCTGAGATTACGACAGCAGCGACCGCTGCTCCTCTTGTGGTCACGGCAACAGCTACCGCTATTCCTGTGGTTACGACAGCAGCGAAC